GAAAAAAATGACACACTGGATTCTAGAACATATCTTCATTTTAGAAGAATCTACAAGGCTGTCGGGTGTGGTGGCACATGGCTGTCATCCCAGCGCTTGGGAGACTGAGACAGGAGGTTCCCCATGAGTTTGAGGTCAGACTAGACTGTGTAGTGAGACCCTGACTCCAAAAAATCCTTAAGAAAAATGTTGCTAACATTAAAAAAATCATGTACTTTTATTAAGGGATCTGGGTGGCTGCCTTCTCTTAGCCTGGCTCTCAATACACTTGAGAAAGGCGTCTGTAAAGTATGTAACGACCAGCTCTGTTGGCAGCAACTAGAACAGACGCCTGGACACCTGAAGGAAGGGAAGGACACACAGGACAGGGACAACCCCCGGGGTCCCTGTCCAAACACTGGCACCGCCGATTCCCTTGTCTCCTTCTTACTGAGTGCCGGGCTACTTCCCAAGTTGTGCTGATGCTAATGACTTTCTTCCTGATTCTCTCAATAGAAAGGAAAAAAGGAAATCTTTCTGGCCTTCAACTTTTGATGAAGATGAGTTTTCCACATCAAAACTTTTTTTTTTAATTGGAAAAAGTTAAGACTACCCACTTCCAGGCAGAAGGCGTGCTTAGGATTCTAGACTCCTTCGAGCTGTACGCTCAGCTCTCATGGTTGTCGAGTGCATGGTCACTGCTGGGGCCCAAACAAATTCTCTAAAATGCCAAGACTCCCCAGGAGGCTGGCTGGTGGGAATTGTTTTTTTGGCTGTACCAGGGATTGAACTCAGGTCCTTGAACTTGTCCTGCAGGCACTTATACCACTAGCTATATCCCTGGCCCCAAAGCTTTTTTTTTTTGAATTCCTGGGGATTGAACTCAGGACCTTTCTGTACTTGCCAGGCAAGTGCTTATTCTACTAAGCTATCTCCCCAGGCCCGGGAATTTTTATCTTCCAGGGGCCTTTGTTTTCTTCTTGCCTGGGTGGTTTGGGCTGGGGGTGAAGTGGGTGGTGACCCCTGCAAAGCAGCTAGAGCATGCATCACAGGCCGCTAGTGCAACAGGAGGTCACAGCTGGGGAGCATTTCAGGGAGAGAGGCAGCAGTGGGGAGGAAGACAGGGCCAGCTGGGGAGGCAGCTGCCTCTGGACCCCAACTGCTGCTGCCCTGCCTGGGGCTGGGGAGGGATTCAACATTTGGGTGGGGTTCAGTCAGAATCCAGGCTAAAGGCATCCAAAAGGCAGGGGCAGAACATCAGGAGCCAGAGCCGAAAGGCAGCTGAAGGCGTGCTGCCTGCACATCGGCCTGCATCTGGGTCCCAGCAGCTCTGGTGGCCACAGAGCCTGGGGCTTCTGATGGTGTCCCCTGGCAGTGCCTCACCAGCAGTCTGGGTGGGTGAGGGTCCGGGTGAAATCAAGCCCTGGACTAAAGCACGAATGCTTTTGTGCGCTTGTGCTGTCATCTGGTCGAGAGAGTTCGCACAGAAATTCCTGACACCTCTAAGAGCGTGATTTCAGCTGTCCAGGTAGACAGAGAGCTTATCCGACTTGGAGTGGTTCTGGGGTGAAGAATTAAGTCCTGCCTCTGGAACTAAGAGGACCCTGACTTCTCACACACGTCTCTGCTTTTCCGAGCAAAGCATGTGCCAGGGGATAAAACTGTGGAAAGCAAGAACAAAAATAATAATTTACAAGGGCAAGGTCCCAAGTTTGATCCTCGGTATTGGAAAAATAAATCACCATGCTCGACTGAGCAAAATAAGGGTGTTGAGCCAGATTCATAGGTGGCTCCTGGGCTGGACCGAGCTCTTGCCCTGGACCTAGCAGACCAGACAACTCGGGACTCTGGCACAGATCCTGAGGTCCCAAGACGCCACGCCCAAGCAGTTGTGTATCATATCTTCTCAGGACCGGGAGAGATACCAGCCAAATCCCCACACCAGCCAGATTAAGGAAATCCCCTTGGCTTCAACCTTTACAAAGAAAGTCACTTGGAAATGACTGTCATCTTTCTGTTCTGTTTCTGCCTGCTGTCATCTTTCTGTTCTGTTTCTGCCCGCCTCGCCCCTTTCCACGTATGTATACAGCCCCGTCTCTTCTGTAGACTCAGTCAGGTACAGGATAGTTCTAGAGCTGTACTTCCAAGCCAGACCAGATCTTTAAGCTAGAGGTCCTTTGACAATTGCTTTGCCCCAAACATGGCTAGAGTTTACATATGTCACTTTAATTCCCCCGGGTCCTATCAGGGGTGTTGGATGATTTTCATGCTACAGGAGAGGAAACAGGCTGTGAGCAGCCCGAGAGTGGACCGCCGGTCCCTGCTGCTGGGGTCCTCTCAAGGCAGCAAGCTTCTCCTGGAGAGCGGGGTGCCCGGACTCTGGCTCTCAGGATGTCTGCCTGCGCTAGTTGTGCAGCTACGATAGCTGCTGGTTAAGGAGCATCCACCGCTTCCTGTGTGACGGGCACACTCTTCACTGGGGTGACCACTAATTTCTTGTCCCTGTCTTTCAAATAATGAAGAAAGCCCAGACAGGTGAAGGTTCCTGCCTAATGTCTAAAAAGGAGCAAGGGACGCAGTCCCATTTGCCGCTGCTACTGCCCCGCAGTTCACGCTGCCCTCCATCCTGTCTGCCCCTCGCCAGAGGCTGCCTGGAAAACCCAGGGCCTGGGAAGTCCCTGAGATCTGCCTTCTGTGGTTGGAAAGAACCCCTTCTGACATTTGATTTGGATTTTGCAGTAGTCTCATTTATGGGGTATCCACCGGGAATTTCTAGAGGTCCACTCATTTGTACAACTTCCTTCTCCTGGCGGCTCGCAAAGGGCCCTGGTTCCTGGGCACCCCAAGGCCACACCTTCCCCGAGAGGCACAGAAGCCTTTTCTGGGAGAGCAGTGGAGGTTGAAGGGGAAGAAGGCAAACAAGCTGTCGACACTTCCTCCTCTCCATCCCAATCCCCTCATTCTTATCAGTAAAGATCTCAAAGGGCCCTGAAGTGGGGTACAGCTTGTATCCGCCGGCGCGGGGTGGGGTGGGGTGGGGTGGGGAGGAAAGCAGCGCTGTGCTGGTCTCAGGGACGAAGCTTCCGCCTCACCTTGGTAAATGTGAGATTCACGAATCCACCAGGGAAACTCAAGAGAAGGTTAGCTTTTCGGAAGCCACAGTTGCCAGAGGCTTTGGTTGTGCTGGGGTCAATGTTGAAGTATCTTGGAGGTGAGAAAACCTGCACCGAAAAAGGTACATCAGCTCACAGACAATGACAGGTGGAGGAGAGTCGGGGGCAGCTGGGCAAGCCCAGCCTAGAAATGGGCCAAGGGGGTGACCCCTGAGGCCCGCCAAGTCCACGGATCAGTGGTAGCCTCTCACTGCTCAATAGCTTGACTTTAGCTCCCACATGACAGGAATGCCCACCTTCTTCCCTAATCTGGTTAATTCGGATTTTCATATTGCTATCACAGCAGGCTGGCGGCGCAGAGGCCATCTGATTCGGATTTCTTACTCCCAGCAGAAGGGCTGAGGCCCAGGGGCAGGGTCAGACTGGGCTCACTCACCCTCGCAGAACTGTGCTGGAAGTGTGGGGTGTGCCTGTGAAAACTTTTGTTGTGTGTGCCTTCCCTCTAGTTGTGTTCATGTGCTCCCAAACATATTGCGTGTGTGTGTGTGTGTGTGTGTGTGTGTGTGTGTGTGTGATGCTGGAGATCAAACCCAGGGCTTCACACATGCTACACAAGTCCCCACCACTGGGCAATACCCCGGCCCTCTTCCCCTTCAATAGAACTCCTTGGGAAGGACGACTCAGCGACTTGCTTCACCTAAGCACAGGATGCAGCGGAATGCCCATTTGCGACAAGGCAAACTACGCTCAGATTTTCTGAGCATAGGGTAAGAGCCACATGGCCCCAACTTACCGACTTTGTTTCTTGAATAATCAGTTGTATCCCCATCTCTGCTTTTATGCAGAGCCTACTTCCGTTTAGAACTTGATAAATTCCGGTCTTGGCAGATGACGGCTCAGGTGCCAGGGTAGGCACAGGAACTGTGGAGGCAGGGGAGGCTGTTTGGGTGCCATTGTGTGTGGCTACGGATGTTCCCGGGGTGTGGGTGGGTGGGGGCTTCTGGCTAGTTGTGCTCTTGTATGGTATCGTGGACCAAGCTTTGGAGAGAGTGTCCTGGCCACGTGGTTGAGTGGTTTTCCTGGTCGTGAGACTGACAGGGGATGGACTGGTTCTAGGTAGAGAGGTTGGTGATGACAGGGGTGGCTGTGAGTGGGGAGGTGAGCTGGGCCCGATGGTGGCTTCAGTAAGTGGAGTAACTGTGTGCGAATTGTTGGGGGTGGCAGGGGTGTGGGTGCTCGGTGACTGGGCTGTAGGGTGTCGGGTAGTTGTCAGAGCTTTAACAGTGTGTGTTGGGTTTTCAGAGGTCTCCCCAGCTGTCTGAGAGGAGGTGCGAGCACCCCTGGACCTCATCACTGAGGGTTCGGCTGGCCCTGGCTTAGTGGGCTGCAGGAGAGGTGTGGCTGTGGCTGGGCTGGTCATTGTGGCAGGAGGCTGAAGACTGTGCCTGGCTTCTGCAAACACTTGGTGACCATCTTGCAAGATGACTGCAAATGAAGAAACATAAAGGTGACACTAACCAACTGTTTACATGTTGTCTTCCATGTTTGTTTCCATGTAAAGTAATGTGTGTGTAGTTCAATTTGGGAAACATACGAGGCTTCGGCAATGACAGGGAGATGGTCAGAATTTCTGCTATGAATGAGACCAGGCTGCAACATTTGGGTCGCACTGTGTATTCACAGGTCTCTGGCCCCTGCGGACGCTGCTCTGCACACAGCCCCTTTGTCTGTGGTGACCCGACAGCTGGGGCAGCGTGGAAAACAGGAATAAAGGTTTACAGGGTTTTCTTATTTTCATACTCATACAAGTGAGGGAGGAAAGGTGTCTCAAAGATCATCCAGGTCCACTGCACTACTTGTAACTGTGACTCTTCATCCAGTCAATGCCTCCTTGTCCCCAGCGACAGGAGACTCATTTCCTGACAATAGAATCCTTTCCATTTTGTAGTTTGTTATTCTTCATTTTTCCAAATGTAGACTAATTCTGAATGTGTCCTTGATGTTTTGAGTGGTCCAGTCTTTCCCAACCAAGAAATAAAGTTAAGGTGTGATTGCTCTGATCCTTCCAGTGGCCTGTCCTTCCTGATTGGCTTCAGTGTCAGTTCCTCAGGCTTCCCTTCAGGGGGTCCCCACGCTGTGACCTCCATCTCTGTTACCTGTTGTTTTCATTTGCACTGATCACAATTTGTAGTTGTGTGTGGGGCTGTGTTAAGCTGTGTAACACTCAGCCTGGTACAGACGGCCTTTCAGGCCTGATGCCACACCCGGACTCGACAGCTGGCCCAGTGTACCCAGGGGCAGGGCATACATGTGTGGTGCTGGGGACTGAACCCCCATCCCCGCACTTGTCTAAGCAGGCACTTAGTCCTCTGAGCTATGTGGCCAGCCCTCCTAGGATTATCTTCAGACCCAAATGAATTGGTGTCTGTGCAAGGCTCAGGGCCTGTGAGCCTACCTAGGACGTTTGCTGCTGTTGGAGGTTCTCCCTGGGGCACCATTTGAGGATAAAAGCCCCAGCTCTCCCTCAGCCTGAGTGAATCATCTTTCCCTTCAACACCTTTCCATCTCCCTCTTCCATTCAGTGTGATTCTAAAGGGTTACTTTCCCCATATTAATGAGTAACAATAAATATTCCAAGTTTCCAGATGTTTACCACACAGGCACCCCAACTCAAGGTCCCCCCACTCCAGCCTTTTCTTAAAAAGCCTCTGACGGGAATTACCTTGAGGTCTTTCAAATAAAGGAACTCAGGCTAAAAAATCCCACCTACTTGACCACAGTACACAACTCACTGGGCTGGGAGTGAAGCCACGAATCCCTGTGGCTGGCTTAGGCTTGTCCTTGAATCTGGAGGTGGCGGGGGTGGAGGGTGTCACTGTGCCAAATGGGAAGAGATGCACAGAGGAGAGGCAGGGCGGGGTGTTCCCCAGGAACCCCAATTCATGAACCCTTATAGTGCTGGTCCTCAGTGAAGACTTTGGATGCTCATGTACTGAAATGGTGATTATTTTTCAGAAGAAAAATTCTGACTTTCTGGACAGTGAAGACCAGTGAATTATTTCTGCCCAGTTGGCTTGCTAAATGGAAAACACACTATGGCATTAGTTTAAATTGCTTTGGATCCCTCCTTAAAAAGACTTATTGTTAATGACTTTAAGTTATTTAAGGCTACATTTGTTTTTTTTTTTTTTTTTTCTAAAATATTCATGTGGATAAATTAAATGTAAGATCCTGGGAGTTACAGATTTTGTGAGCTATGTTTATGATTTCATAAAATTCTTGCCTGTTGGATGTTTATAGCCATGTTGTAGAGCTTCAAAAGAGATTTCTGTTTCAAGATTGCAGTGCTTTTTTTGCGACAGGGTCTGGCTATGTAGTCCAGGCTGGCCTTGAACTCACTATGTAGCACAGGCTGACATGAACCTGTAAAGTTTCCACCCCTTCCTAACAGCACTAAGCTGCAGACACACGGGCCTTCGGGAATGTGAAATTCTAGATCCCAACTCTAGCCGCCGTTCACGTGACGCATCCCAAACGCGGAGCCCGGGACTGCCATGACTTCCCACACCCCAAGGACCCCATGCACAGGATTCCAGGAGGCTTCTCGCCTGTCAGGTCCATTTGGAAAGGACTAAGCAGTTTTTGAGGTGCACTGACTGTGGCAACCCTCCTGCCTCAGCCTCCTGAGTTTTGAGATTACAGGTGTGCACCACCACGCCCGGCAATATTATAATAGACTTATTGTAACAGGTTATGAACACTTATTATATAATTCACGTGGGGGAAGTCGGAGTTGCTGGCTCCTTGGTCAAGAATCCAACCAAAACCCAAAAAGCTGTGACTGCCACAGCAAACTCCGAAGCCCAGAAACCTCTTGCCTGCTTTCTGGGGCGGTCACTGTATCCTAGCTGTGATTCTGCTGGGCATGGCCGGTGTCTGAGCTAACGCTAACCTTCTCTCTGAGTAGAATTGCCCAAACAGAGTAGCGTGCCCTTCACAACAGGGACCCTGCCACGATTACTGCTCCTTTTCAGTAGTGATAAATGAGCTCCCTCAGAGAGGAAAAAAGTGCTTGGCTCTTTCCAAATGGACCTGACAGGCGAGAGGCCTCCCGGCATCCTGTGCGTGGGGTGCTTGGGGCGTGGGAAGTCATCGCAGTCCCGGGCTCTGCGTTTGGGATGCGTCACCTGAACAGCATCACGTGAACGGCGGCTAGAGTTGGGATCTAGAATTTCGGATTCCCGAAGGCCCGTGTGTCTGCAGCTTGGTGCTGTTAGGAAGGGGTGGAACCTTTACAGCTTGGGGGGTGAGACCCCATTTCCTTTTCTCCCTTTAGTTTTCCCCCCTGAACCTTGGCCATGACGGGCTGTCATGGAGCCTGAAGCGAGAGCGCCAGGAGGTCAAGGACTGAAAACTGCAGCCGCGAGCCAAAATAACCATCTTTCTATGTACTCTGATCGTCCCGCACTCTGTGCAGTAAGAGCAAAGCTGAGGAGAAGGATGAGAAGGCCGGAGGCTGGGCTGCAAGTGCCGCATTCACTTTTGTGACAGTCCTCCCCTCCGCCTCCTCCAGACCCTCCCATCCTGCCCTGTAGGGGTGAGGGCTCAAGGCGGGCAGGTGGGCACTTAGTGGGTGACCCTGCTGTGCGGTGTTAGCACCTGAGAGGATGCACAGCGGCCCTGGGGTATAAGAGTATCTCCCCAAACCTGTGCGCACTCACCTCTGACCCCTGTCAAAACTGGACCATGTTTCCACAGCTCAGAGATTAGTGAAAGTCAAGGTCACCAGTCTGCTTGAGCCCCACAGAGGGCAGTACGGCCAGCCTTGGCTCCCAATCTGTCTCAAAACACCCGCTACTCAAAGGCACGGCACCACTGGCAATGGCAGCACATGTCTGTAATCCCAGCACCTGGGGGGCTGAGGAAGGAGGACTGCTGCAAGTTCGAGGCCAGCCTTTGTTACAAAGTGAGCTCAAGGCCAGCCTCAACTGCATAGTGAGATCCTGTCTCAAAAAGACAAGGAAAAAAGAAAAAGCACAGCTTTGGGGTCACACACAGATCTGCCAGCCCCTCCTCCACCCTGACCTTGCTGTCCAGGATTAAAACTACCCCAAGACTGGGTCCTGTGCTCCCACTTGCTCAGCAGCCTTCCTGGGGGAGAGATGTGAGAAGGTTTTGGTTCCAGTTCTGGAAAAGCCAGAGAGCATACTGGGGCTCCGTCTGACCTCTTCTTGGGGTTTCTCTTGAAAGTCCCTTCCCAGGTGGCCCTGGGTGCAGCTCCTGCCATCGACACCCCCAGGTGGACAGAGGCTCCCCATAGGCTGGCTCTGTAGTGAGCGATCTCAGGACAGGAGGGCAAAGGGGTCCCAGCAGGAGGGAGCCTTGTGTGGGGAGGATGGGAAGGGGACGGTAGGATGGGACTGGAGGGCAGGACAGAGAAGCCTGCGGGGAGGAGCAGGCAGCGCACATAGCAGGTGCTCTGCTGGCCCTGAGGAGCGCTGTCAGCGAGCACTTGGAGCCCCGGGCAGGGACAGATTTCAGTCCTGAATGTCCTGCCTGGGTCTCTGGGCACTTGTAGGAACGGCAGAGGGGGGAGGAGTGCACTAGCTCATGAGGGGCACTGGCCACCCCAAAATACTCTTCTCTTGCTCCTTGGGACAGAAGCCTGGATCCCAGCGAGCACTTGTGGCCGGGAATAAGAATCCCTCTTCTGGGGGGTAGAAATGCATGACTGAGTTTTGGCCGAGGCAGTAGAAGTGACAGGGTCCTGTGGGCTTCTGGGAAGGCTGGTCCAGGGTATCAGTTTTGCAGGCAGCCTGTCTCTCTAGGGCCCTTCTGCTTTTACTCCTTTGGCCAACCAGAAACCTGTATGTGATGGCTGGAGCTCTCGCAGACATCCAGAACCAGGGAAGGCCTGGAACGTGGAAGCCGTCCTAGGCACAGCGGTTTGTGGACAAGGAGCCCCTATGCTAGAATGCGTCTCAATTCCTCTGGACTTGTTTTCCTGCAAGAAATGAACCTCTGTCTTGTTTAGTCCCTGTCACTTGGGGCTGGTTGGTTTGGTGCAGCTGAATCTAATGCTAATGGACACAGAGTTAAGTCTTCTCTTTTTCTCTAGGAGACTAGAAGACCCTACTTCTCGAGTGCCCCAAAGAACATGAAGTTAGAATTCCAAAAGTGTAGGATGAACACAAGCAGCTCAGAAGAGAGTAACAGGTTTGGCCCTTTGCACCGATGTTGGGTTATTGTTTTTTCTTTTTAGAGACAGGATCTTGCTCTGCAGCTTAGGCTAGCTTTAAGCTTACTTTGTAGCCCAGGCTGAACTCATAGCGATCCTCTTGCCTCAGCCTCCCGAGTGCTGGGATTACAAGTGTGTGCCACCACTCTTGGTGTACCACTCTTGTGATAATCCCAATCCTAACATTTGTGTCACAACCAAGGCCCACCAGATTGCCACTCCCCAGTGTCAGTGGGCAGTGAGGACAGAGCTGGGTCGCTCCCACTTACTGCAGAGGCTCGAGGAGGAACTGCATATTGCTGTAAATCTGGGAGCAGGGGCAGTGCACAGCACCCAGGAGGACTCCACCAGACTTGGGAGGAGCTGCCCTGGTGGACATCCCAGACTCAGGACATCCTGTGGCCCTAAACTCAGCCTTCCAGCATCCTCTGGAAGCAGAAGTACACAGGCAACATTTTTTTTTTTTTTTTTTCCGGAACCGGGGATTGAACTCAGGCCCTTGTGCTTGCCAGGGAAGCTCTTATTCCACTGAGCCATCTCCCCACCCCCGAGGCAACATATTTTCAAAAATCCTCCACCAGATGTGGTGGTACACACCTATAATCCCAGTACCTAGGAGGCTGAGAAGAGGCTCCCTGTGAGTTTGAGGTCAGCCTGGGCTACTTAGCAAGACCTCACTTCAAAAACCCAACAAAACAAGCCAAAACAACCAAAACCAAAACCAAAAAGCCCTCCAGTGCTCTGGCTTGAACCTCTGGGAAGTGGAGCGGCTGATCCACTGACGCGCCTCCACAGCTCTGGGTGCGTCACACAAGCACGGTGATTCCAGTGGAGACAAACAGGAAGATCGAGACAGGACGGCTTTGCTCAGGTAGCAAAGTGACAGCCCCATTTCGGGGTGCTGGCTCAGTTCCCATCTTCTAGATCTAAGTGATTTTTACAGATGTCCCCTCATCCAAAGTCCAGGATGATTTGCGTGCCGGGGACAGGGTACCCTCCCAAAGAAGGAGCAGGTCTCTGGCTAAACATTTAGGTAGAGAAACCATAGCTAGGGGCACCCAAGGCCACTTAGATTTACAAGGACCAGCAGGGCCACCCCAGAACCTGGGGTTTGTCACTTACCGGCTAGGATCATGAGGAGCACTGCCACTGCAGATAGCTGGTGCGACATGACTGGCAGGCAAGGCAGCTGGGACACAGGCCAGCTCCTGTCCTTCAGCCCCAGTGGTGGAGACACGAGAGTCGCCTGTGTTATGAGAAGTGGCTGCAGGGCCCGCCCAAGCAGCGTTGTACAGCCGCAGAGGGAAACCACAAGAGGCTGGAGGGCAGCAGGCGCTCTCCTCTCTCTGGGAGTACTGGGAGGGGCTGGGGGGCTGGAGCACCCAGCACAGAGAGAATGCCAGCATCTGGGTCTTCTTTTCCTCTAACGGCTTGGACCCCTTTCTGTAAACTCAGCCTTGTCAGCTGGGGGAAATCCATCCCTCCATCACAGGGTGGAGCTGAAGTTTTAAAATCTGCTTGCCCGTTGCTGGGTGTAGTGGTGAATTCCTGTAATCCCAGCGCTTGGGAGGCTGAGGCAGGAGGATCGCTCTGACTCTGAGGCCAGCCTGGGCTGCACAGAGAGTCTCTGTCTCAGAAAACAAAGAAACAAACAAACAAACACACCTACATCTAGTTGCTGGAGTACTTTGCTGTCCGAAGCAGCTCCTTTGCATCTTTTTTGAGACAGCCTCTCTGAGTCATTCAGTTGCTCAGGCTGGGTTTAAACTTTCTACCCTCCTGCCTCAGCCACTTGGAGTGCTGAGATCCCTGGTGTGCGTCCCCCTGCCCCCAAGCAGAAGCGTGAAGCCGGGAGCCAGGGAGTCTGAGTTTGAACTGCCCCTGCGGAGAAGCTGCTGCCTGGCCCAGGGTAACTTCTTGGAGCCCAGCTAAGTCTCTCCTGCTCCAAGACAGGGTGATAAAAGCTACAAGGCTATTTACAAACCTGGTTTAGGGTTTGCAAAGCCCAAATTCCTGGAATGCAGAAAACCCCTGGAGGGCAGCCTTTGGCCTGTCTTTGTCCCTTTTGTGGACTGGATAAAATAACGGTTCATCTCAGGATGCGAGTGGGTGGGGATTCACCTGCAGGTCCCACCAGGCACCCTGACCGGCTAGGGCTTCCTGCCTGGATTCATAGCATTTTCTGAGAAACAACTTTGGCTACAGCTACTTTATTTTACTGTGCTGCTTTACCCCTGGAGATGCCTCAGAGCCTACACTGTATTTCAAAGTGGAGTTTTCATGGTGGGGACCAGGGCTAACTTGTGCCAGCTGGCCGCCTCTGCACAATGGCTCGCTCTACAGACTGTGTTCAGTTAATTCACAATTAAATAGCTACTGGCCAGATGTGGTGGTGCACACCTATGATCCTAGCATTCAGGAGGCTGAGGCAGGAAGGTCACTGCAGTTAACTTGAAGCCAGACTGAACTACATAGCGAGACCCTGTCTAAAATAAAAACAAGCAACTATTATGTGCCAGGTACTCTTGCTGCTTTAAGGCTGCACAGCCACTCTGTGTGGATACTGTTATTACTGCTGTCCCATTTCACAAATGGGGAAACTGAGGCTGAGAAGTCAGGTGACCTGCCCAGAGTCACTTAGATGAAAAGCTGGACTGTGAACCTAGGATTGGAAATGTTGACTTGAAAACACTTTCCCACTTTGAAGAGGTGCCCAGGCCATGCCATCTCTTTTGCCATGTTTCCTACCTAGTTGGGAAACACTTCTCAGTGTAACTGACCAATTGTTTACTGCCAAGAGACAAGGAATGGAGATAGCGTTCTAGTGCCTGGACCTTGGACAGTCTCTGGAGGTCATAAGGATCTGAATAATCAGACAATGGTAACAACAATAACAACCACAGTGACAATAATTTCCATATAAGTGCTTCCTCTTGTGTGCTTAACTCTGGGTGAAGTATATGGCAACTCTGTAGGGTCAAAATGTAAAGCCTGACTTTAAGGATGTGGAAACTGAACCACCTCCAACTGTGGCCTAGCCGGCTCTGTAGTGGTTTTTTTTCATTTTTGGCTGAAAGAGAGACTGAACTCAGGCCCTTGAGCCTGCCAGGCAAGTGCTTATTCTATTGAGCCATCTCCCCAACACCCTGGCTTTGCAGTTTCTGTCCTTTTGAGGCAGAAGATGAGGGTGTGGGAAAGCTGGCCTGGGAAGTAGGCGTGACCTGTTAATTCACAACGGTGCCTACAGCAGGAGGACTTCTCGCGAGAACTGGGGCAGTTCATGATAGGACGACCTGGGCTTGACGTCAGCCTAGGAGTGGGCGATGTCTGCACCAAGTCTCTGCCGCCCTGGCAGAATAATATGCTGGATTTTCTTTACCCATTCATCTGTTGATAGGCGCTGAAATTGTTTGCCTATCCTCCTCTTTTTTTTTTTTTTTTGAACCAGGGATTGAACTCAGGCCCTTGTGCTTGCCAGGGAAGTACTTATTCCACTGAGTCATCTCCCCGGCCCCTGTTTACCTATCCTGACCATTGCGAATTGCGCCAAAATGAATATGCATATGTTGGTATTCCTGTAGTATGTAGACTATAATTCCTTTGTATATATACCAAGAAATAACAAAGATAGGTCAAATGGTAACTCTACTTTCAGTTTTTTAGGGCTGGCCAAATAGCTCAGTGGATTAAAGCACCTTGTAAGCGGGTGCAGGGGCTGTTGGTTCAATTCCTGGTGCTCTGAGATGGTGATTGAGACTGAGTAATGTGGTGGTGTGTGCCTGTAATCCTCGAACTTGGGAGGCTGTAAACAGGAGAATCACTACACACTATGAGCCCGATCTAGTAGTAGACCCATCCCTAAGATACAGAAAAAAAAAAAAAATACTTTCAGTTTTTTGAGGAACCTCTGACTTATGTCCATGAGGTAGGTCTGTCCTAATTTACATTCCCTCTAGGTATGTAGAAAGGTGTCCCTCACAAGCTTTCCAGGATTGTTTGGTATTTGTATTCTTAGTGATGGCTGTTCGGAGTGAGCGGGAATCCCAATGTAGTTTTGATTTGCATTTCCCTAGTGGCTAAAAATGTGGCATGTTAAGGCTGGGGAGATAGCTCAGAGGCTTACGCGCTTGCCTGGCAAGCGCAAGGTCCTGAGTTTGATTCCTGCTCTGAAAAAAAAAAA